GCTTTGGCTGAAGCAGTCTGTCATTTAGAGCAAAATCTTTGCTGCTGTAAATAAAGCAAAGTGAGACGCCAGTAAACTTGATTTGTTGGATAAGTAATAAAAATTCTTCTTTATATTTACATTCATATTTACTTCATTTTGTTGGCATAATGTTTTTTTTGTCATATTCTATTGTATTTTACTTTAAGAACTTGATTCACATAGCTTTATACTGCATTTGCGACTGTTATTTCTGGTGGGTAAAAAAATACTTATATCTATAATCTCTCTATGTATTTATTTGGTGATAATTCTGATCTGCCATTATTAAAAGCAGGGTTTTTGGGATAAAAGCTTTGTGAATCAGGGTCTGAATTTTTTTTTTAAATAAGTAATACTTATATATAAGGTAAATTATGGGTTTTGTTTGTAATATAATAATCTGTAATGAGTCATAAACTTGAGTGCAGGGATAGATAGTGGTGATATGTAATAGGCGGGTGTGATATTTGACTCATGGTGGTTTAAAAAGGTCTTAAAAATCAAAAGCTGAGAAGTGTATGTTTGTCATATTTGTCTTATTATATTTGATTTAAAATTCAGATCACACTGGAGAAGATAATTTGTAAGAACTCTCCATCTCTCTGTCCCTTTACTCAAGATAATGACTCTGAGCATCTCCACCAAATGTGTTAGTTTGTGTGATTTATGGGCCAGACTTGTGTCATGTTTAAACACTCTTTAACCTCAGATTCCTCAGATGTTTCTGCGCAGATGCTTCCTCTGTAAGTGACCGTTTTTATTGTTTACAAAATGACAGTTTTGTTTTGCTTCTGTTGAATAAAATTGTTGCTAATGATGTTTCTGTCATTACTGAAAATGGTGGAAACTGTTTTATAATGAGAGACAAATGCAGGCCTGAAGAAACCTAAGATTAGAAAACGTCTAAAAAGAGGATGCTTGCTTCAGTACGTGCACATTATGTTCAACTCGGGAATCTGTAATTTTGAGCTGCACAAACTCAAGAATTTTGGCTAACTATTTTTAAGCTAAACACCCAAATGTCAGATTTGTCATATCTGCTCTTTGGAAGCATGAACTGTCTTGTAACTTAACATTTCAAGCCCAAGGTGTACACGCACACACACACACACACACACACACACACACACACATACATACACACCATGGTAACAAGCTCCTCCACATTTTTATGATTGGCCGTGATGAGGCAGCTGGCACCATCATCCCCAAACACAGGCCTGCAGAAGGTATCAGAGCCTGGAGATGACGAGAGCCCCCTTTGTCCCTCTCTGGCTACTGTACAAGATTGTTTAAATATTTCAACAGCAGTAAACCAGATACATACAGAGCCCTTTGCTCCAAAACAAGAGCTCATGTATTGTCTCGTCAAATCTTAAGACACTGATTTGTTCCAGTGAAGTTAAGGGAAAAAAAGAAGTCGTAACTTTTGGGTGTTTTGAATGAGCAAAGAAATACTGCCCTCCTGTGAACAGTACAAGTATTGATTTATCACTTATGGATGTTAATGAATTTCTTTTTTCATCATATTTACCACTAACATCTTGACATGGATGCAGTCTGACCACATCTCCAAATCTATTTAGTGCAAATGTATTGAGATATGATTACATTTTGGTACATTATCTGAAACATAAACTAATTCTTAACTAAATTTTTTTGATCTGAGTCAAAAGTAGGTCAACCTACCAAAGATCAAACATCAAAGATGAAGGTACAGCAGCTCAAAGGCAAGCGTAACCCTGTGGTGGCTGAAACGTGAGCCCTGACAGAGCCTTGCACTGGGGTCAGATTCCCCACGCTTTTGTCCATGAGGTGCTAAATAATTCGAGAAAATACTACCCCTTCACTTTCACCCTTCCCATCAGGTGACGGGATGACACACAGCCGCAGGACCACCCAGCACCTGTCCCAGGCCTGTTTGCTACTTCCACTGTCAGAGTTTTAGGGACCTTTACCTTTACCTTTAGTGACCTCAGATAAGGAAATATTTGGGACACCCAACACCCGACACGTGTTGTTTCATTTTTCTTTTTTTACTCAGTATCTCCCGCTGAAGCTCCTGCTCTGTGTATTTAGACCCTTTTCACTTTCACTGACAAACAGCAGGACCTCTTAATCAATTTGCATGGTGAGGAGGATCCAGAATAGGTAATACAGCACCTTAAGGCTGTCGTTAAACTTTGATGAGCATCTGCCTGGAATTCTCAACAGCAGCAGTGGTTACTTCCTAAGAGAAAGGGAGGATCATGTGAGGATCATGTAAGGACCATGTGGTGACGAGCTTTCCCATCTCCTCAGAGGAGCAGATAATACAGCAAGAGAACAATGGTAAGTGCTTGGGCCTTTACTCATTTATTTATTTTGTGTTACTGCATTCTGATAAGCCATCCTTTATAAGGGGTTTATAAGCTGCTTATAATGGTTTTATAAATGGTCTGCAGTTGTAAACATTTATACGTTTTTAACAAACGGATTTTGGTCCAAATTCCCTGCAGCTTTCTTACAGGGTCAGAGGTCAGATAGTCTACTTGATTAAATCAAGATGTAAAAAGCATGTCATGCTCTAGATTTTTCCCAGCCTCTTATTAAAGGAACGCTTCACTTACCAAATGATCATTTGTATGTTGGTTACTCAGCCTGTGTTGCGTTAAATTTGTGAAGGAAACGTCTTTCTCGCATGACTCCGTGATGAACAAAGAATCCAAGAACTGAGATAACTCTTCATGAATTGAAGTCATAGGGGGCCATGTTTAACAGCAAAGCATTTGTGTACAAATTCTCTCTTACCTTGTACAGCATAATCCTCATCTCATTTATCCAGTTGTATGCTCAGAGCTTCCCAAACAGAAAACCCTTTCCGATTGGGTACTAAAATTAAAGTGAAACTTATCCATGTCTTCAATGCCAGACTCCATTGGCAAAAACAGCACATTTACTTCCTGGACACGGGAGCTACTGGTCTACCACAGCCTCGATTGGTAGTTTGTTTGTGTTACTGCGTGACTTTGTTGAATATGAACAAACCCTTTAAATCACCAGGTACCAGTTACAAACACCAGTTACACAATAGTACAACTTACAGAGCTATGCAGTGGTAGACCAGCAGCTCTTGTGTAAAATTACTGCTTTTGTCAATGGAGTCTGGCATGGAAGAAAGCAAAGTTTCACTTTTAGCTCAGCTCCTCATTGGAGAGGGCTGTCTATTTGGGAAGCACTGAGCATTTGACTGGATAAATGACATTAGGATTATACTGTATGAGTTGTGTGAGAGATTGGAAACGATGTTTTAGTGTAGTTTTGCTGTTGTTCAACACGGCTCTAATTTATTTCAGTTCATCAAGAATTTTCTCAGGTGAGTATTGATATACAAATGATCATTCTGGGGTTAAATCTGAACCATAAAGAATAAGCAAATGATTTATTATCTATTATTAAAGCCATTAGTTACAACTTACAAACCCTTAATTATGGAGTAGTACCCACTCTTTTAGTAGAAGTGCATGAGTAATGTGTCTAATGTGGTCGTCTCTCTATTATTCCTGGCAGTGAGTCATGCTTTGGTGCAGATGTGGTGTCCTACTGGTTCTCTGCATCTGTCCTCTAACCTGCCTCGTAACGTCTCCCTGTCCTCCCGGCTGCTGCTGCCCTCGCCCAGGATTCCTGGTTTTGTGCGAGTCCCTGGGTCTCAGGTCACTTCCTCGCTCTGTCCCTCTCAGTACCTCAGCTCTCTCTGTGGCCAGAAACCAGCTCTGTAACGTGGACCACCTGCTCCGGCCCTTCTCTGACCTGCAGGAGCTGAGCCTCAGTCATAATCTGCTGAACCGCTTCCCTCGCGGCCTGCCCCCCAGCCTGGAGTCCCTGCTGCTGCAAGAGAACCGCATCACTTATATCACTTCAGGTGCCCTGCGACAGTTGGGGAACCTTACTCGCCTGGATCTGGAGGACAACCGCATCCGTGCCATCCAGCCCGGGGCACTTCAGGGTCTTAACAAGCTGCAGGTCCTGACACTTAAAGGGAACAAGCTTACAAGCCTCCCTATGAATCTTCCTCCATCACTGACACACTTAGACCTCTCGGCAAACTGCATCTCTGTCCTGGACCTGCCCTCGCTGTCCGCCCTGGTCAACCTGCAGGTTCTGAAGATCAACAGCAACTGCCTGCGTTCAGTCCCAGAGAACGCCTTTGACAGCCTGCCACGTCTGAGATCCGTGGACCTCACCAACAACCTGTGGGTGTGTGAGTGTGACATCTTGTATCTGTACCGCTGGCTGCTGAGTGATCGCGTGAGGATGGCCACAGATCTGGTGTGCACCGAGCCGGTCCACCTTGCTCACCGCCTGCTTTTGAACCTCTCTGTAATGGCTATCTGTCCTCGTGTCGTGAAGCCAAATGAGAGGACACACCCACAGGACATCAACTCTACACTGGAGAGGAAGCTGGAGACGGTGACAGTGAGGCCAATGATACCAAGCTCATTTAATAACAGGAGGTATTTGGGGAACTTGTCACAAGAAACAACTGTTGGACATCTTTCCAAAGATGTTCACAAGACTCGTGTGTTACTTAACCACTACTCTTTAGAGACCCTTACCTATGAGGAGTGTTTGTCCCTGAATAAAACACAGTCAGTAAACCTACCCTATTTAAAAACCACGACTTCTGTCCCTTATGAGGAGCAAAAATGCAAAGACAACACCACAAGTCAGTCTCCTCACTTTGATGCAACCTCAGCTGAAGGCACGCGATCTTTGCTCTCCACAAACAGAGAGGCACCCTGGCCCACTCCCAACCCACAGCCGCTTGCACAACAAGACTCTGCCGCGGTCATCGCTCTGCTCGCTGTGTTATGTGTATTAGTGGCTCTCCTAATGCTGGCAGTGCTGTTTGTGCTGAAAAACGTACTCCTGCACCATCAGAGAGTGGCTCCACTTAATGTTGGATCTGGTGGATGACATCAACACAGACACAATGAAAATATTTTTTAGATTTTTTATTCACAGTAAGCACAGTCCCACACAATATTCTGTATTTTGTTTTTGTATGTGTCCTTAAGCTGTTGCTCTAACTGCATTCTCATACTGAATCCTCCTCACAGGACCAGTGACTTCACACAATCAAGCCAAATGCTTAAATGCCAAAAAATACAAAAAATAAAAACCCTGAATCTATGGTGTCTTATTTGTGACATATCTCCAACATTCAGCTCCCTTGTGTAAATTCAAGGATAAGACTTGTCTTAAAATATTCATCATGAACTTCCCACTCCAAAATCAGCATCATTTAAGAACCAGTATCTGACCATCTGATGAAAAGCAAATGAACACCTCTAACATTTTTTAAAGAGATTGTGAAACTCCCAGAAGAAGATGCAAGACCAGATGAAGCATTATGGTGACCAATCTTGCAAAGAGCACTGCAGTGAATCATCACTGGGCTGGTACTGTCACGTCATGGATAGGTAAAAAAAAGATATTAATTGGCGGCCTTGATACGTTCCTCCTTCTTCTCCTGTTGTTTTATTCTGTAGTCTGACAGCGCTGCTTTTATGGCATCTTCTGCAAGCACTGGAAAAAAATGAAGATTTTAGAAACACTTTAAAATTCTGCTCTGATTTTACAAAAAAAAAAAAAAACAACATACAGTCAGGTAACACACTGTGGGAAAAATCTTAAGAAGTGAGTTAAGAAACTCATTTCTTCAGATTTTTTCCTTCCTGATACTGATTTTGGTACCTGAACTTGCGTATCAGCCAATACCAAATACTGATACTATACCAAAGTAAATAAATACAGCTGTATCCTGCTAACCCTGTATGGGTGTGAAATAACTGCCATCACTGTCATGTGGCATGGCTCAGGTTAAACCCTTTGTATAAAGGGCAGCAGGCATCTCCAAACTGAGACAAACTGAACCACTTCTTCTCTGAGTGAAAAAAATATTCAACTTTCCACTGCTCCTGAAAGCAGCTGCTATCGCTGTCAACTTAATGCTTTATTGCTGGGAAGAAATGTCTGTTGCTAGGTAACCATTTGTTTGCTTGTTTACCATCTGTTTATGGAAACTCATTAGTCCCACCAGCGTTGTTCCTACTTGGTGCATGTCTATTAACTGTGTTAGTGATGTCAGTGTGAAGTAGATGTAAAAAATGCGAAGTTAACTTGCTTGATTAACCAATACTGTGTGGTGGGCCACAAGAGTCAACCTGCTTGCTGTTTAAAACTGGTCTATGGGCTGTTGGGCTGGACTTTGGACATGCCTTACATACTGTGAATGAATGCCAAAGAATTTTCTTTTATTATCTAGTTTGACTGTGAGTCATACATAAATAAATAAACTCTTAGTAATTAATAACAATTTCTTTAGGATACATAAAAGTGCAGCCACAATTTGGTAAAATAAAACACCTTTAAAATTGTAAATAGTACAGTAACATTATAAAACTGCAGTGCAACAGCACCTTAAAAAGTAAATAAATCTAGGAATAATTTACAGTTCCTTTAAATTTTAAAGGAACCACCTGATGAAATCAAAGCCTCACACACTATACACATCACTTTTTTACTGGTCAGACTATTTAGTGTAAAGTATTACAAAATTGCTGACATTTTTCTATTGCTTAATGTTTCACTATTGACAAGAGATCAGTAAGACAGTAGCTGCACGTGGCTACACTGTGCAATTTGCAAAGAAGAATTGACGTCCAGGTGTAAAACTACTTTAAAAGTTATTAATAAATGACATTGTATCGGACTGTTGATATGTATGTGGTATTTTAGGCAGCATCTCAGGCATTTCTGATATTGGTACTGGTATTGGACCAACTCTATAAGATCAAACTGAACAGCTTAAAATGTATGAACACTGAGCATGTATAGGAGATTTTTAACTGTTTTGTTAGTCAGTGCTTTTCACCACCAGTGAACAAATGAGGGAATATGCTTTGAGATAACGACTTTAATTCCTTCAGTAGAGTTTCTGCAATGTGTAGGATCTGTAAAGGAGCACTGATGGCGTTCAGATGGCTCGTTATGTACCAACAACCTCACTGAAACATTTTTTCCTTTAACCTGTCATCCATCTTTATGTTTACTAAGCTTTCCTCTGCATGATGACACTGACTTGTGTTAGGAAGCATGTTAAACTGCTTACATTCCTTCACTGTGGTGCTTTGAACTTACTGGAGCAATGCAGCTTGACTGGAGGAAGGCAGAGTTCTTTGGCAATGTCTGTGTTCTTGATCTTCAGAGCTTCATCGACCTGCAGAATGAAAGCAGACTATAACAAAAACGCTGCACTTTTAAAAGCAATTATTCCTCTTTCCTTTCCACCTGCTGTATACCAACTCACCGACTTCCCCTTCACCCACTCTGTGGCAAGAGAACTGGAAGCAATAGCTGATCCGCAGCCAAATGTCTTGAACTTAGCATCGACGATCTTGCCATTTTCATCCACCTGGATCTGGAGACGATACAGAGTCAAACACTTAGTTGTACAACAGGACGCTGACTGTCATGACAGCTGCATGTGACCTCCAACTTACCTGAAGTTTCATTACATCACCACAGGCTGGTGCACCCACCAACCCTGTCCCCACATTCTTGGCGTTTTTGTCTAGAGCGCCCACATTTCTTGGGTTTTCATAGTGGTCCACCACCTTGAGGAAAGTGAAAAAAACACGACACATCACTGGTTTGTTGTGTTGTTTTGATTTTTGATGACACGCGCTGGTTATAATAATGAGTTTAAAATACATTACCTTTTTGTGATATGAGCAGAAGGCACTGAGCTCAGGGCTGAATAACCTTCTGCTAAAAAACAACAGCGAGGACGCCAAGTTTCGTAAAGGTACAGCCGCCATGTTGAGATACGTTGATGAACGGAAATCAACGAGTGCGCACGAGTGAGGAACGAGCAGTTTTTTGTTGACAAACAAGTGAAGACGGAAGCTATCACCAACGGAGGAGCACCCACTAGCGGCTCACAGCGGCAGCTACACGTTGAGTTCAGGGACAGGCTCCACCTCTCACGATACTCTTGGGCTTGTTAGCTTGTTACCAGGCAGACAGCCTTTCCAACATGGCAGCGTCAAGCAGCGCAGAGCAAACGCAGTTGCAAGACATGGAGGAGGAAGATGCAGGGATGGAGGAGAGGGAGATGGAATCGGACAACGGGGAGGAGGAGGGAATGGGAGTAGAAAATTCAGACGACGAAGAGGACGATTCGTCGGAGGACGAGAAAGAAAATGAAGCGGAGATTCAGCGGCTGGAGGAGCAGGTAATTAGCCATCAACCAAGCCAGGCTGAGTTGACTAACGTTAGCATATAAGCTAATGAGAATGAATGGGTGGTAAACACTGCCAGCTACAACAACCCAGCAACTTAAAAATATCAGCTTTTCCGTCCTGCTGTGGTGTAACAGAAACTAAAATTATAACGTTACTAATGTTAGCTGGTGTTTTCCAAAACAATTAAACAGGCGTATATGATACGACGTCATTCACATAGCTGTCGTGATTAGCTGACCTGCTAATCTGTGATGCTAATGGCTTGTCTCGTGTCACAGTCACACGCGCCTTTTTTACTATCTCAGTCCAGTGGGATATAAAGCTCCAAGTTTAGCCTAGTTAGAGAATACATGTGCACATATAAAGTAAGGTTACATACTGTCCTAACTTTACTGGGTGTCGCGTTAGCTTCCCAAAACGTTGTCTATACGTAGTAGTAGTTGGAAACATACAGTAATGCTGTAATCTGTGCTTCCACTGCAACAGCAGAGAAAAACCAAATTCATATTACTGCAGCATTACTTATCCTAATTTATCAGGTAGCCCTGCAATAAATACAGGGCCGTAATCAGCTATTCATCATGTGGGGTGGGGGTTCAATCTCCACCTTTTGCACCCCAGTCCTCCAGGGTGGTCTGGGTGTAATTGACCCCAGGAGAAATGTTTTGAAACTTGACAACTATCAGGGTTTCTCAAAGTTTTGATGAGCCAGCATAAGATTTAGGGCCACACAGGAAAAATGCACACACTGTAACTTTCCTATAACATTTATTATGACATACTAACAATAAACATAAGCTATAACAGCCGACAGTAACATGGCCTGAATAACACAAATATTACACCCCAGTTTCTGGAAGGTTTGAGCATATCTGAATATTTGAGGGGATGTGTCCCTGCAAATTTCCCACCTTCTTGAAGCTTATAATGCTAACTTTTTAATTGTAATTGTTTTAAAAAGGTGTTGATTCAACTTAAAGGTCATTTTATAAGCTACAGTTTGTGGCACTTTAGAATTGTGGTGTGAGCTGACAAGTGTCTTCCCTCATTGAAATAAGTAGACTAGTGCTGGATTAAAATAATCAATTCATCCGATTCAAATCGATCTTCATTTGAATGACCCGATATCAATTCGTAAAATTCGTTCATCTCGCTGAGAGTAAATGAGCTGACTGATGTCTGTGTTCTTTATTCTTTTTAAATCTTACCCAGTATTGCGATGTCAGGAATTTGATTTATTTTATTTACATATTAGATTTGTAAGTTTGTATTGTGACTCTGCTGTTTGAATATTACTATTGCTGCTCTACAAACAACATTTAGTTAGAAAATGTTTAGTTTTAATCCTGTCCTGAATTTATTCTTTTTGAAAAATAATTCCTTGTAAAATTTACAGAATCTCTTTCATATACTAGCAAAATTTGGTATTGTAACTGAAATATCCTACATCGAAAAGATATCACATTGAATCAAAATGGAAATAAAATTGAATTTTGACCTTGTGAATCGAAATCGAATTGATTCAGGAAATCAGTGGATATACCCAGCCCTAAAATAGACACCTCTTGGTATGATGCAAACTGCAGCCTCCAAGCTGATTACCTGAATGCCTTTCTGAAATGGAGCTAGAAATTATTAGACTGTATTAGATTAGTGTCTTGGTTTTATAATAAACTAGCAACTAAGTGTGAAAGTACTCTATATGTTCTATCAACTTTTTGTGTGCCATAGTGTAAGTATTTAAGCGTTTTAGATTGTTAATGTCATGATTTAATTTGTGTAACATGAATGAGATATGACATTTTCTTTGGCACTGCTGAATAAATACAGTAGAAGCACGAGGTAATTAGAGAAAAGGGGAAAGACGGTGCACAATACAATTAAAACATAGTCTATCTCTGTGTAATTTTTTTCCAGCTGTCAATCAATGCTTTCGACTACAACTGCCATGTAGATCTCATCAAACTACTGAAGCAGGAGGGAGAACTTTTCCTTCTGCGAAAGGCAAGGCAGAAAATGAGTGAGCTATTCCCGCTCACTGAAGGTTGGTGCATGTCTGATATGGTTTTTGGGCTCAGAAGTATCAGTTGACACGAGCTGTGTTCGTTTTTTCAACTGAGGCAACATTTTGTTGAACCCTGCAGAGATCTGGTTAGATTGGCTCAAGGATGAGATCCGCCTGACTGAGGAGGAACCAAACCGGGAGAGAGTCTATGAACTATTCGAGAAAGCTGTAAAAGACTACATCTGTGAGTGCATTGCATCATTGTTTACTGCCTTTTATTTGACATTCATGTATTTCATTGTCCTGAGATTTAGTTCCATATCTTGATACTTAGGTCCAGATATCTGGCTTGAATATGCTCAGTATTCAATCGGTGGCATGGGCTCACCAGGCGGGATGGACAAGGTGAGATCCATCTTTGAGAGAGCTGTGACAGCTGTGGGGCTTCACATGACCAAGGGACAGGCCGTGTGGGAGGCGTACAGAGAGTTCGAGAACGCCATTTTATCCACAGTACAGGTTTGTGTTTCCATCACTAGGATCTTATCAGTGGCCTCACATATGCTGTGGTTGTTGCTCTGTGATATATTCCAGAGTGAGATTTATTTTGAATGACGCAGTTTCAAAAACAGTATAAGACAATACAAGATAGACACTTGTTAATTAGATTTTGATATAGTACAGTAGTTGCGTGTAGAATAGTTGCATGCAATATCACTCTGTCTCTGTCAGGTTAATATTGTCTCAAAGCATGCTTTTGAATGATAATCCAATCACTTAGCTCAGAATAAATAGAAATACTCTAAAAGCTGAATTGAATTCTTCTCATGTTAAATGGGCCCTTGCTAAATTTTGACACCATTTTCTCTGCTGTGTTTCCTCTCAGCCTCCCCCTGGCAGGATTCCCAGCCGTGAGGAGCAGGAGCTGCTGAAAACTCAGCTTGAGCGTATCCATACACTGTTTCGCCGCCAGCTGGCCATCCCCTTAATGGGTAAGCATGATGCGTTTTCTGTCCAGACGGGCTGCTGTAAAACGGGCAGGATTCGTGTTGTGAGAGCCATATGTCGAAAAAACCTGAAAAACTGAAGTCCCCCATTTAAAAAGACAATGCTGCCTTCTCAGATAAGTTGAGTGCGGCACGGTTGTGATGTGGCTTTTGTAATGCTGTGCAGATTTAGAAAGAGAACAGTCCCTGACCATGCTTTCGGTTTGTTGCAGGAGTGGGCGAAAGATAGCCAGATGGTCTAATATTGTGTTGGATTTTCTGTCCCAGCTGAAGACTAAAGGCATTTCTTTACTGTTTTAAACCCTATTTATCCAGACATCTCACTTGATGAATTATTTGCTAAGGTTTAAGACAGAGATTAGGTAGTATGTATTAAACATTTGCAAATTTACACATTCCTGCAACACATAAACCTAAAATTCATACTTCTTAATTTTGGCGCCTTTGCACACCGTGTCTGTATTTTTGTCCGACATCGTTGCACGTTTATAAATGAATACGATCTCATGTTTTGGCAATCATGTTAACGTACTGACTCAGAAACTTTCTTCTGTCATTTAAGTTTTCAGAACAGGTGTGTTTTTCTTTTTTTTTTTTTTTTTCTTTTTTCTTTTTGCATCCGTCAAAAGCCTTTAGGAACCGTTTGAGCAAGAAACAGCAAAGAAAATGTGGCTTAACCTGCAGGATACCACAGTTAAAGTGAGGAACAGGGTAGAGGTGGACAGGGGGCCAGCAAGAAAAAGTTTGTTAATATATGATAGCAATGGCCTTCTTGCTCAAGAGTAATGATGATGCTTACAGCAGAGTGCAATTTAATAGGCACACAGTATCGTTTTGTAACTCAGGTAATGCTAGCTGCAGTACCAAATGCAAGACTTGGTCAGAGAGAGAGGCAGGAGATACCACAAGTGAAGAGAAGCAAGAGAGCAAATGTGTCTTTCCAATTCACCTTGTATTACGAATTTTCTCAACAAATAGAAAAATAAAACGCGTCTGAGAGTGCAAGGTTTCTGTGTATTAATGATTATAAAATGCATACAAAATATACAAACTTGGTTTACAGAGTCCATGTGGTTTATGTATCTTAATTGATACGGTAGAAAAATGTCTGTAAACTGTGATAAAATTGTGCCCTTTTGCTTTGTAGACATGGAGGCCACCTATGCAGAGTATGAGGAGTGGTCTGAGCATGGCGTGGCTGACACAGTCATACATCAATACAAAAAGGCTTTGCAGCAGATGGAAAAGAGCAAACCTTATGAAGAATCGCTGGTAGGTGACTTGCATTGATTATTCTGACTGTTAAAAGTTGTCCCCTTTTTTATGAGTTTTAATAATGTGCATAGTTTCTGCAGTGCGTAACGTCTGCATGCTGTTGTGTTGCTGCAGATAGTCGCAGAACCTCCTAAGCTGGCAGAGTATCAGTCCTATATCGACTTCGAACTGAAGGAGGGCGACCCGGCGCGGATCCAAATAATCTTTGAGAGGACCCTGGCAGAGAACTGCCTGGTACCAGACATGTGGGCAAAATACACCACCTATCTTGTGAGTATTGGTCGTGTTTTGGTGTGATGCTGTCCTTTAAGGGCTCCCAGTCGTACTGTAATGTTTACTGTGTAGAGTTTGGACTCGTTTCACATGGCATTACCTTCCAAGTCTGACTGCTCTTATTTAGCACCTAAAACTTGCCAACTTCTTTGTCTGCCAGCAGGAACTAAAAAGCTGTGATCAAAATGCTGCACTGAGCTTATCTTAGTCATTTGCAGCCAGTAATTGCTAACACAGCTCCTCTTGAAATGGATTCATGGTCTTTTAATTTCATAATGTAGTTTCAGACATTTAAACAGTAAACTTGGACTATAGCCACCAATACATTAGGTTGATAATTATTTTACTCATCTGAAAAAAGTACAGTGCTTTTTCTTGTCTTTAATTTATTAGATTTATTCGTGGTCACAGTGTGAATTTTATTTAAGCGGTTATGAAATAACAGGAAAGCAACAAAGAGGTGCCTTTAAAAAATATCCTGTTTTATCTGCCACGCTCTCAAACTTGTGACAAATTGCACAATGCATGGTTAGTTTTGCCCACGTCTTCTAACACCACCCAACTAACCTCCTGTATGAGGATAATTTAAATGCTTGCTTGCGCTTCAACTCATAAACTTTGTCTTTACCTGTCACCATTTTTTTGCGAGTGCCCAATTGATTCTGCCCATGTACAGATCTAGACAGTGATGAGAAAGAAGCAGGATGACTTACTCCATAGATACTTGAAATTATCAGCTCCATTGAAAATGATGTGTTTAGTTGTTTTTTTGTTTTTTTTTAACCATGTGCTAGATTTATTAGCCCAACGTAGCATTGTAGTTTTGCTCCAGGCAATCTTGCAATTCTTACCATTGACCCCTGGGATGTCAGATAAATGTGGTTGCTTATAAAAGTGACTCTTAACAGCTTCCTAAATATTTCAGTTTGTTTAAGGTTATTTTAACCAGTTTGTCATGTGTTCTCTGTGGACTCTACAGGACCGTCAGCTGAAGATCAAAGACTTGGTTCTCTCCTCTCATGAACGTGCCGTCAGGAACTGCCCCTGGACCATGGGTCTGTGGAAGAGCTACCTGCTAGCTCTGGAAAGGCACGGAGCTGAGCATCAGACTGTCTCTGGTAAAAACTAGATTGCAGCCAGAAGCTGTCAGATCATGGCTCAGGTGCTGTTTTTATGTAGTTGTGAGTTTGTTATGAGGGAAAATCCTGAAACCTTGCTTTGCCGTATGATTCAGTTTCTTTCTTTTCCTTGCAGATGTTTTTGAAAAGGCGCTGAATGCAGGTTTCATTCAAGCAACAGATTATGTGGAAATTTGGCAGGCGTACCTCGACTACCTGCGGAGACGTGTGGATTTCAACAAAGGTGCGTGCAGTTGTGTGTGAAACAGAATTAGTCTTTGGGGTTGGAAACTATTCAGTTCACTCATCGTTCTCTTGCTAACGGTGTTTCCTTTTTTTGCAGAATCGAGTAAAGAGTTGGAGGAGCTGCGAGCAGCTTTCTCTCGGTCTCTAGACTACATGAAACAAGATGTTGAAGAAAGTAGGTGGATTTGAATCTGACTGAGATTTACTGATGTGGTGTTCTTGGTTTGGTTTTTATAATTCATTGTCTTGTGTCACTCTAGGATTCGGTGAAAGTGGAGACCCCTCTTGTATCATAATGCAGATCTGGGCAAGGATAGAAGTAAGCAGTGTTACTATGACAACCATTTACAAGCATTGGATTTCTGTTACATTCAGTTGTGTTTAACCCTGTGTTTATTTGTGTTTTATTTTGACTTATTTTATTTTCTATGTCTTGTCTATAAAATTGTGAGACAATGGAAATACGCTTGCTAATTTTAAACATAGTAATAGCCTAAATGTGTAAAAATACATTCATCAGTGACAGTTTTATTTGAATTGTACAGTTTAAAGTTGCATAACCTCACTGTCGTGTAATATGGAAACAGTCTGCAGAAATTACAACATCTCTTAATGTAAGTTTTGTTTTCTCCTTTCCAGGCCCTCCACTGTAAGAACATCCAAAAAGCCAGAGAGCTGTGGGACAGCATCATGACAAAAGGGAACGCTAAATATGCCAACATGTGGCTGGAGTACTATAACCTTGAAAGGTCTGTCAGTCAATATCTAAGTGGGGAAAATGTGAATTGAAGTTCTGATACCTTTTATTAGCAAAATGTATTTATGATGTCCTTGATTTTTTTTTTTACTTTGTCCTTAGGTCTTATGGAGACTCTGTTCACTGTCGGAAAGCTCTCCACAGAGCAGTTCAGTGCACCTCAGACTACCCTGAGCATGTGAGCGAAGTCCTGCTCACATTCGAGAGGGTGGAAGGTGAGTCCTGATATAAATATCAAACATAACATCCAAACAAAGAAGACTTACATGAATTACAGTGTGTCTTCTCACTCACAGGTTCTCTGGAGGACTGGGATGTGGCAGTGCAGAAGACAGAGACCCGGCTGAACAGGATTAATGAGCAACGAGCGAAGGTAGGAGCACATATCAGTATCGTGCTGGACAAAGGCATGTCACAGTACCAGAAATTTAGTAGTCAGTATCAGTACCAGTGAAATTATACATACACTCCTTTTATTGAAAACAGGAAACCAAATAAAACAAGTACCGTCACGTTTTCAGAATTCTGGCATCGACTTCTCCTGACATCCCTAACTGGACAGGTGTATCATTTGTCTGCTTTTGGCTGATGTGATCATGTTCTGCCCATCTGTTAGGCAGCTGAGAAAGAAGCCAACCTGGCTCGCCAGGAGGAGGAGAGAGCTGATCAGCGGCGGAGGGCCAAGGCAGACAAGAAGGCTCAGAAGAAGGTCCAGAAGGGAACTCGAGCTGGTGAGAAAAGAAGAGCAGAGCAGGATGATTATCACGATGAGTGGAATGATGACTCAGGTAAATACAAATCATTTGTATGATAAACCTTTTTTTTTTTTTAAATGAGAAATTATGCGTTACCTAATCTTCCTCTCCCTCTGTGACAGAACAAGCTCCTAAAAGGTACAGAGGAAATGGGGACCAAACCACAGAGTACATGGAGACGGAGACTGGACTCTTTGGGAGGAACGCTCCCCCTGGCTTTAAGCCTACTCCGTCTGACAATAAAAGAGCCCAGCAGGGAGTTGCGGCTGCTGCCCAGAGGCAGAACGATGACAAGCCAGAGCTTCGCAACGATGACAGCAGCGTATTCATCAGCAACCTGGCGTACACCCTGCAGGAGCCAGAGGCCAAGCTCAGGACGCTGTTTGAGACCTGTGGTCCCATCAAACAGGTCCGCCCTGTCTTCAGCAACAAAGGGACCTTCAAAGGCTACTGCTATGTACAGTTTGAAGCTTCAGTGTCTGTCCCCGAGGCCCTGAAGCTGGACAGACGAGAGGTGGAGGGCAGGCCCATGTTTGTGTCACCTTGTGTAGACAAAAACAAAAATCCTGACTTTAAGGTAAATATCAAAACAAGTGTTTGATTTTTATTATAACCAGAGTATCTGCAGGTCTTGAAAAGTCTCTAAAATCTTTGAAAAAAGGCTTTAGAGGGTTTTAAAGGAGCAGTGTGAAAGATTAAGGCAGATTTAGGGACATCTAGTGGTGAGAATTGCAGATTGCACCCAGCAGAAACTTGTGTTGGTTAGGATCCCTTCAGTGTTAATTGTTCAGGAGGTTTACTTATTTCATTGTATTTAATTCTGTCAGTATATCCCCCTAAAACCTACACACTGGACCTTTAAATAATTTACAAAATCTTAAATATTTGCTATTGCCTTGAAATCAAATGAATCATTCTCAATTTTTTAGTCCATGTATCCATTTTATGCCACTTTTCAGGTCCAGGTTGTATTACTTTAATCCTATTAATGTTAACATCTCAGAGGAACTGAAAAGAAAAAAAAAAAAAAGTGAAGTAATCAGTAATTCTAGGTCATAATGTCCCAAAATGGTTTTCCATCGTACTTTGGCTGGTATGACTGTAAAATAGGTGCTCTGTTGTATTAAAAAGATCTTTAAACGTCTTTAATTTAACTTGGTTAATCTGCAGAAATTCTGATAAGGTGCAGTACAAGTGACCACTTCACATTAATGTCCCCGTAGGTGTTTAAATACAACACGGCCATGGAGAAACAAAAAATTTTCATCTCTGGGCTGCCGTTTTCGTGCACTAAAGAGCAACTGGAGGAACTCTGCAAAAGTCACGGCACTATCAAAGATGTTCGTCTGGTCACGTATCGCTCAGGAAAACCCAAGGTGAGGCGTAAAGAGGAGGACAGTGTCCAGATGTTTGGCTAAAAATAGTCATCCTGATGAAGCTAATGATTCCCACCTTTGACCATGCAGATGCTGAGCAAAGTATTAACCCTCTCTCGCTGTGTGTCTCTGCAGGGTCTGGCGTATGTTGAGTTTGCAAATGAAGCGCAGGCCTCACAGGCAGTTCTTAAGATGGACGGCATGGACGTTGAGGGCAACAAAATCTCTGTTGCTATTAGTAACCCTCCTCGCAGAAACATGAGTGACAAACCGGGTTCAAACAGGACCACGTCAGACACAGTGCCTCGCCAGGTCTTTGGATCGTAAGTTTAGCGATGCATTTCTCTTTCACGCCCACTGAAATGTTGCCATCGTCAGATCTGTAACTGTACAGAAACAAAGCTGTGTTTTGTTTTCCCAGGAGAGGAAGAGGACGCACGCAGCTCTCATTACTCCCTCGCTCCCTGCACCGACAAAGCGTGCCCGTAAGCAAAGTCAGGAATGGGACTGAGGCTGAGCAGGCGCCAGCAACAGCAGCCAGCGCAGCAGCCGGAGAGACGAAACCTTTGTCAAATTCAGACTTTGCCAAGATGCTCCTCAGCAAGTGAGAAGATGAGCGAGAGAAATACGACCGCCTTCACACTGAAAGCCATCTTGTGTCCTTACAAATTAGTGTTGGTGATTTTTCTGTAATTGGTTACCCGGCTTCCCTTTAATCTCAGTCTTGTTCTCCTCATCATCCGTTCTGCGAGATTTGCCTTAATCGCTGAGCTCCTGCCCTCCATCTGAAATCCTTTTCAACCAAGACTTCTCACCATGTGACAGATCGTTTTCGTTTGGTTTGTTTGAAGGTTGCTGGCAGGCTATTTTATATAAAAGAAAAAGTGTATCATATTTGTGTGTAAATATACCGTATCTAAAATTGTACGCCTCATGTTGCAAAGTGTCTCTTTTTTTTGGTTGTGTAATGTGAAAGGGATCTGAGAGAAGCATATGGAAGAGTATTTTTTTTAAATATTCAAAACAGCCAAACTTGTGAATGTTGTTTAAAAGGTTATATGCAAAAGTTCAGACGTGTTGTAATATAGATGGTGTGTGTGTGTGCGTGTGTACAGAAGCTGGCTGTGCTACAGTGAAGAAAAGACTTTCTCCAGATGTTTTTAGGAAAAATAGGATTTCTGTTGTGTAACTTATTTTGACCTCTGAGGACAAAGTTAACAAGGCTAGCACGGACTTTTTTCTGACTGTATAATACAACTAATTATTTTTTACATAGTTACATCTGTGAGTTGCCATCTGCTATTCGTCATAGGTATTATGATGCTATGGAGTCTATAGAGGCTCCATTAAATTAGTAATAGTAAACTGGCTTCATCTCAGCCTGAGGGCGTGTTATTACAGTATAAATACTGCCCTGTCATGTCACACTGCTGCAGCTTAATATCAGTTATAGTATTTACAGAACTGCTCTAAGTATTCTTTCTCATGGTTTATCTGTTTTTACATATCATTGTTAATGTGAGCTGTCTGTTCAGGGTGAAAACATCCATCATCAAAACACATTGTTTTAGTTGTTAGTCTAGTTTATGTGCTGTGGACCTGAAAGAGAGATTTGGAGGTAAATGAAGCATGATCACTTCACCTTGGGAAGCTCAGGGTGCACGTGTAAGCAGGGTGTTAATGAGGCTGAAGGAATGTGCTGCTTTGGTGGCTGCTGGCATTACAGCTGAATGATTAGTTGATCGACAGAAAATTAATTGCCAGCTAATTTGCATATTAATTGTTTGTCAAATTTCTGTCTCTGGTCTATTTTCAGTGTCTGAGCTTTAAGGTTTTAGTTTGTCCTTTTCTTACATTTTGTTAAATAGAATGTTTTTGGGTTATTGACTGTTGTTAAGATAAAACATTTGATGACATCACCTTGGTTGTAGAAAATTGTAATGTGCATTTTTCAGTTTTCTTTGGTTTGGTCGACCAAACAGTGGAGAAAATAATTAAAAGCAATTGTTAATTGCAGCCCTGCAAGAGTCCAGGGATATGAGAGAGGACATTAATTTGTTTAAGGTGTTAAAGAGTTCAGATATATCCATAAATGCTAGAAAGTACATGTGAACCCTTTTGTATGTGTACTGTAAAAGTGAATCCTTGGAGCATCATAAACTGAGACCTTAGTACAGTTTTATAAATGAGTTTCTTTGAGTAAGAGAGTTTATTTCACCCTCTGAATGAACCTGGCTGACAGCTCTTCAGTATTCTGCGTAAGAAGCTGTTGCTGTCAGCTACACGTATTAAGCTCTGCAGCTCCTCCAGCACAATTAGAGAATCTATGCAGTTTTCCATTTCTTTCACCCCATGCTAGAAGTCAACCATTTGTCTACTCGTCTTGTTGGGATATTAACACTTCTGTTTGTGTACATAATGTTCGATATGCTAATTTCAAAAAGGTCACCATAGTTTGTAATAAATATAAATCTAAGTTTTCAAAACAGATGGAATACAAGCTATATGTATTGCTCTCACCACAGTGGCCTGATCTGAAAAAAAAAATATCTAAATGTGTTGGTCTCTAAAGTCACCTTCCGTTTTATGTCTGATACTAAAAAGGTGGTATGTGTGCATTGCTGTTGTTTTGTATCATTTCTATAGTCAATGTTTTGAATTTGGTATAGAGGTAAATAATAAATGGCTTTTTGTTTGTTTGTTCAGTCACAGTATTTATTTACCTGCTTGTTTCGCCCTTTTCTACCCTTGTGTTTTTGGGTCCTGTAAAAACAAAGAAAAAAGTTATGTCATGTATTTTTTTTTTTTTCTGGTCTAAAATTTGTTTTAATAAAGTCACGTAAATCATCTTTGATCCCAGTACGACACTCACAGACTTGTTCATTTTACAACAGCTTGAAGACATAATGGAAGTCAATAGAACACTTTTATTTTAAAATGAAATAAATAATCAAATACATGAAAGTGCTTTACAGTGTTAAGAGACATCACCTTAATCCCAAAGATAATTAACTAAATGTTCACCACACATCTGCGCTGAAGCGTCTCAAGTCAAGCAACAAGATTAGAAAACTTTCCTTGTCACACCACCAGAGGTCAAAATTCAGATTGTATTGTGATGGAAAATAAAATTCGTTTACACTCCTATGGGAACTGGTCATAAACTAAAGGTGGGGAACGGATTTCTTTTAATTGAAAGCAACCCTCAAATGGCAAAATCAGATTTCAACTCAACATCCTGAAACAGTTGTGATGAATTCAGCAGGTCTAGAACCCAGACCGAAGCAAGGGGTGATACTGGTGGGAAATGACCAAACGAGAAGGCAACACATTCTATGGTAAGATTGTTTTTTAAGAACTCTCAGACTCTCCTCCCGTCTCCAGCTCAGTGAATTGGGATGGTCTGTTTGCAGTCGGTACAGGCGTGGTCCTGGCTGGCTCCCGGCAGCCCCACAGCATACTCAGTTGTAGAAATCAACAATGTGTCCAATGTCATCTCTGTACATTTGGCTATAAAGCGAATAAAGGGCCGTACATCACCCTCATTGGCTGTGTCCAGAGCTGCATAATACTCAGCCCTTTGTTCTTTGCGAATAGTGATTGGTGGGTATCTCGCTTGCATGAGCACAAGGTTCATGAGCAGTCGAGACGTGCGTCCATTGCCGTCCACAAACGGGTGCACATACACCAGCTTGTAGTGGGCCAGAGCTGCGTACTCCACAGGGTGCAGCTGCAGGGCCTCCTCAGAGTTGAGCCACTGGACCAACTCCTGCATGTGCCTCTGCAGGTCCTGAGGGTGTGGGGGGATGTGGTGGCCCACAAACACCTGGTTGGTGCGCAACCTCCCTCCCTCTACAGGGTCCACATAGCCAAGCACCCGTCGGTGAATCTCCAGGATGTCACTGACAGTTATGGTTCCTGATCTGGACAGCAGCGTGGTGTTGATGAACTTCATGGCTACATCCACACCAATGGCTTCGTTCTGCTCCTGTAGGCTCTTCCCAGGGACGGCGTAGCGGGTCTCGATGATGTGACGGATCTCAGACAGAGTGAGCGTGCTGCCTTCAATTGCCACAGTGTGGTAGATGTGATGGTAATAGGTTTCCTCCATCACCCGGCGGAGTGCAGAGTTGCCTTTAGGAATGGACATAAGCCGGCGCACTTTACTGTCAATGATGCCAAAGTAACGCTGGTCAATCTCTTCCACCAGGGGAAGAGTTCGGTCCCGGCTGACCAGAGCTCTCTCATTACAAGGTGAGATGGCCAAGGCCTTGGTGTAGAGGTGGTCTGCCTGGACGACATCCTTCTTCTCCTCCTCCAGAATGGTCCCCAGTTCTGTTAGGGCGTCCACAAAGTCTGGATTCATGCTGAGTGCATGCACCAGCAACTTGTGAGCCTTCTCTATCTTCCCCAGTTTCTTCATCTCCAGAGCCTGCTGCAGCGCCGCTTTGGCCTCCAGCTTCATCTCTGCAATCAGAACATGACAAACAATGTCAACTCCAAAACAGGTGACACAGCTTAGAGGTTAAAGCACAGTAGGTCATTTCCAGGGTGACTGCAACTATTGTTGTTTGGTCTATAAAATGTCAGAAAATGGTTCAAAATGTCTATCAGTGTTTCCTAAAGGCCGAAATAATGTTCTCAAATGTCTTGTTTTGTCCACAATCTAAAGATATTCAGTTTACTGTGTTAGATGAGTAAAGAAACCAGACAATATCCATATTTAAGAAGATGGAATCAGAGAATTTTGACTTTTTTTTTTCCTAAAAAAAGACTGTTTGGTGGATTATCAAAGTAGTTGGCAAATGCAACTCTAGTCGTGACACAGCAGAGCTGGGTAATCTTTTAATTAACATAACATCAAGGACCTTATTCTAGTAGTGATTGATACATATAAAAATAAACTGTTTTACACTGCTTTGTATTTTTACAACTCTAAGTCAAAGTATATTAGAAATGTGGTCCGTTTTGCTGTACTATAACTGTATCTGACCTTGTCTTTAACATATGGCATTACATTGAACTGTGTACTCTTGTATTTTACCTTTGCTCGGCTTGGACCTCAGAGGCAGCACATCAAGGGCAGTAAACGGGACAGTAAGGCTGGTGGACTGCACAGCTGGAGGAGGATGGGAGCTTCCCCACAGCTGGCAGCGGAGCTGAGCGAAGCCCTTCAGGGCGGCGCAGCACTCGTCCTCCACCCCCACCAGGGGCATCAGGACGGCCACCAGAGAGCCGAGGAGGACACATAGCAGCGGGCCCCATCCTCCAAGCAAGCGGCCGCTGGTGCAACGCCACACCGTCATAGCAGCCATGATGATCCCAGGTTAAACTCTCCATCCTCTAGTGACACGGTTCCCCATGTATATCCACCCCAGCTAGGAGAGCCTCAGGGCGGTCGACTGGAGGGAAAACACGGTCAACATGACAGCTTACAATCACGAACACTGCTGAGGGAATTCAGCTCAGTTACCCGACAGCTATTAAGTTAGCTAAAGCTAGCTAGGTCAACGCGACTCTGAGCTGAAACTTTAAAACACCGGCTGAAATCACGGTTAGACTGCGGTTGACTTGTTCTCGGCGTCCATACAGTACAGTACAGCTGTGTACAAAAAATACACATCATCCACTTCCTTGGTTTGAACGTGCGAACATCCTGGAATGTGATTGGACAGAATTAGTTTGAAGCTCAGCGCCGATTGGCTGAAACGCAGCAATACAACAGATGGTTCGTAACGGTCTCTGATTGGTTGATATAGGAATATTTTGCCCTAAATTTAGCCTCGCAGGCAAATACTGACCACACAGCAGCACAGTATGTGCCCTTCAAAAAACTGTTTGTAATGAAGTTATACGACTTTTCAAATACTTTTAAATGTATTTTTAATACACATAGTAGCCTATATTAATGTCTTTATATGTAAATTTGAATTTAATATTTTCTTTTTTCATTCATTCAGTTGACATTTTCTTTCAGTATTTGCACACTTGTAGCCTGTGCTGTGTTGCTGCTGTGTTTGATTTGATGTTGTGTTGCTGTTCATGACTATTTGTATTATTTTTAAAAGTGTACAAAAAGCAGTCCAAAAATATTAGTAAACATGAACAACTCTCTCCCAAATCCAAAAACTAGGGTGCTAAAACTGAAATTTACGATGTCAAAATGTATAAAGACTGTAGCTGTTCAATTTAGACTAAAATGAAGTGGGAAAAATTTTACAGATGAAACTGAGAGCACTCAGGAAAATGTTCTGAGTATATGGGTACATTTTCAGTTTCATAACTGAGAGCACTACAATAGAATAAAGCTAAGTAAAGCTTTCCTTGGCCATGGAAATAAATAACACACTTGAATTCTCAATGTAGCTGACGTTCCCCTTTAAATACTGAAATAGACTGCCCCAAATTTAGCAATAACAGGTGGTGCAAACACTTATGGAGCCTGCCTGGTGTGATATTTTGGGTTTGACATTTACTTTAAACCCACATTTTTCTGTAGGTGAGCCAATATTTTTGCCATTTCCAACACTAATCCAAGTGTACACTGCAGTAGGCTATCACAGGAAGCCACTCAGTCCGACCTGTCATAAGATAAAAACAGGGATTAATGTGCTAAAGAAAATAAATAGATTAGCATTGGTTTGGCCTATCACAGCTATTGTGCAATTTATTATTTAAGGAAAGGAAAAAATCCACATTAGAATAGTTATTGTGCCTTGATGGCATTATTCACCAGCACAATTTATTTTCTGGGGCTGTTTAAAAAAAACCTCCACGCTGACATTATTTAAATTAATGAATTGAAGACAAAGTTGTTTTTACCATAGAGCTTTTAATTACTCAGTATTTCTCAGTTAAACAGCTCCAGCTTTGCTGCCAGCTGTCCTCCCTTTTATTCTAATGCAAGTGTACTACCAAACAGAAGAGGGCAGCATTGCTTTATTATGCACACATCACAGTCATAGCATATCCTCCGTAGACTGCAGTATCAGTCTTGGCCTTAAAATCAGTTTCATCAGGATTTATTCTTTGTAATCCAGTTTGTGAATGCAGTAAAAATGAATTTATATTTGTATGAACCTTTGTATGAACATGATATCTTCCTCTGCAGCCTCATGTGTCAGCTCTTATTGCTATGTTTGATCATTTGTAATCTCCAGTTCTGTTTGTCCTTCATGTCATTGGTATTTATGTTTGTTAGGTTTCATGTAATTTCATTAAAAGCCTATGTACCTTTATATCTGTCATCTATTTATAGTGGAATTGCCTTTACCAACATTTCCACCAGCTGGGAACAGCCTGTGGTGATGAGGATTGATTCCTGGCCACATGCCAAAGCCAGCACTATTAGACGTATCTTCAGCAGATGGCAGGCTATTGGCTCTAAAGAGCTGATATTCACACACAGCCTGAGACTCTGCAGCAACACACTGTCGCCACGAACAGTGCTGAGAAAGTTATGAATGAACAACTGAGTAGATGATTTTGTGTGGAGTTAGAGATTTAGTGGCTCTGTCTGAAATTTGGAGTTTTAAATTTGTCAAGTCATGTTGCACTCTGTACTCACAGTGAGCCGTGCAGCCACACACTAACCTCATTTACCAGCACAGAGTCCCTCTGTGCTGCTCTGACCCACAGCAGTTTCACCTTGGAGTATAATGGAGCAGCCATGCTTCAGCTGCATATATTTCTTTACTCCTGTTATTTATGTGCTCTGTCACACACCTCTCGAAACAAAGAGGAGACTGTAGTGGGTTATAATGACCGAGAATATATTTACAGTCATTTCTCATTCTTTAAGAGTGTGAGAGAAAGAAAAAAAGAAAGAAAGAAAGAAACCAACCTTGGGGGGATATTCATATAATCAACATGCTGCCAGTGACTGACGACTTACTGCTGCCCCGGGGATACAGGCTCTGGATTTACTGTATCTGTGCCTCAAATCAGACTCAGTGCTGTATAATTTCGCGGCTGCACCATGATACTTTTATTATTACTCTGGCTGGGAAGCAGTTTTCACTCTGTAATGAATGAAACCAAAAAATATCATACATTTTTCAACGCAGAGAAAAATGGTCAGAGGGTATCTGAGGCACTGCAGGGAGGAGGACATATAGTGGGCAAGTAAGCAAAATAATAGTATCACCCATTTATATATCAAAACAGTGGTGCCCCCAGAAATTTTTCAAAGGGGGGCAGGATGGGGCCCCTGAAAATCTTTTGGGATGGCACACCAAAACGAAAAGTCATAACTGCATTTCAGGAATGTGAATATGCTGCTGAAGTACATAGGCTACTTGAAAACTGCCAATATGGTGAATTAAGGAATTGAATACTGATAACGGCCTACTTTGGCTTCTTATTTTACAGTTAATATTCCTAATTATCTGATGTGCATAGACTAATACTGGTACAGCTATTTGAGTTCCACAACAATCATGTTTTAATGTGTTATGTGTCCATGCATGTTTGGTGATTCATCTTTAGTCTAACATACAGCTTTAATTTTAAGTACACTGATTGTAAGGAACAAAACATTTACTGGGAACAAGCCTTCTGAAGTGTAGAGGAGACTCATGGGTACCCACAGAACCTATTTTTATTTAGATATCTTGAGTTGAGAGTTCAAGGGATGCCTTGGAAATAGCTATGTCAGTTGTTCCCTCGGCAAATTTAGCCTACCTTAGGAGCATTATTTATCACCCATCCTGACAAGCTATGCTGACCTGGTTGATACCATTGGATGCCTTAGATTATCTAGTTTCATAATATACCACCACATTTGTTAGCTTGAATAATGAGTGTGCCGTGGACTCTTAAAGACAATCAGCCTCCTATTATTTTCACCAGGGGGATCACTTAGGGGGGCAAGAATTGCCCACGATATGGGAACATGCCTTATGTCAAAAGACTATTTCAGTTCTCCCTCAGACATCTCTCTGCTGAGACCATTAGTCATGAAGCAGAGGCTGCACTTCTCTGGGGGATGGACTTATCATCCTCCTCAAACCCTGGCTTCAGGAACCTCACAGAAAGGGTTAGATCAGGTCTCAGGTATGTGGGGAGTCTTTGAAGGCTCCTGGCTTCATTTTGGTGTTCAGTGAGGATGGGAGTCTTAAATTATAGTAGCATCATGCAGAATGTGTTAACTAAATTGCTTGTATTCCCTGAAAGCGAAATGCAACAGCAATCATCCGATCTGCCAAAACCATTTCACTTCCACCAACAAATTTAAACGTTGGCAACAGCCAGAGTGTGTGAAAGAGTTTCACCAAAACAGAATCTGCTCAGATGCCAGAAAACAACTGAAAGATGACTCTGTTACTGTGTGTATTACTCTCTCAAAAAGCTCAGGGCTTCAGGATTTATACCTCCTCATGCCTCTGTGATACAAACACTACAACCTATCCTCGGGTCAAGAGGTGCAGGTTTAGTTGAGTCACTAAAGTGCTGATTCCATGAGGAGCTCAGCAGTCCTGTGAGGTGTCAGTTCACTCGCCATGAAGAGCTCAGCAAAGCCTGTGAAAACTGATGTGTCATGTTTTCTGTGGCTCTAGAGGTGAGCTTCAGTGAGTGATGTCATCAGGGTTGTCTCATTTGAAGTTTGAAGGTTTGTAGAATTTAAAAGGCATGGGTATTTTCCAGACAGGAAGGAGTCTAATGAGAGGATGCCCTCTGTTGCATTATGGGGAATGTAGGCTCCAGTGTTGTTGGAGTTAGCCCATACTATATACGCACATTTAGGATATCTTGGCCTCTTCTGATTTGATTTTGACCGTTCATTTTTAAAGGTATATTACACAGGATTGGCAGTTACTGTTTTTAAACAAGCTTGCCTGCAAAAGTAGGGGTAAAAGACAACCCCAAATTCACGTTGTCACATTACGTTGTATCTCTTAGATATCTGCTGCTTATGGTCTGGCACCTGCTCGATACCTTTTCTTGAGTCCTGACCTCACCTCAGTGCTGTGAGGGTACACTCCCTTAAATGTCAAAGAGGAAAACAAGAAATACAGGCAGAGGGCAGAGTTTACAGAATTATACACTTTTAATGGGTCAAGAGTAATGATTGAGAGGGATTTTCTATGAGTCTTTATTTTGGGAAAATCCTGCATAGTATATCTTTATTCAGTTTTTGTCAGATCAGGCAGTGACTTAAAGATTTCATTTATTTTTTTGTTTTTATTTGCCTCATGCTTTTTGAAAAAGTGAATTGGCTTTTAGCTTAACAGGGTTTCCTGTGAGGCTGACTTTGTGATTGACATCTAATTTCATCAAAGTGAAAGCACCCCCTCTTTATTTTTTTTACTGGTATGGTGTCTTCCCAAATATAAGTGAGGAGAAAATTAATTAAGGTCTTTTTTCCTTAAATTGTGGACAGAATAAATGGATGCTAAACTGAGACATCCATTCTGCTATCTGGCTGCAGTCCAGTTGCTTGCACACAGACTGGCATTAAAGCAGTGATATCTTTGCCACTTCCAAATATGAGGCTGCAAAACAAGTGAGCTTAGGCTCGGCTTTAGTCGAAAATCGAGGACAAATATGGCGGAATGAACAACTGATGGAGGAGAAGTGATGACATGAAATGAACGGCCCTCGGGTCATTTTGTGGACTAATTCT